GTTTCAAAAGTACCGATTTGGCACCGGTATCGGATAAAACCTAAACGATACCCATCCCTACTTCTGTTGTGTTTTGGACGTGCTTCGGGGTTTGCACGTGTTTTGGAGTTCGTACGTGCTTTGTCTCTAGGGCCCAACGCAAATATACTTTTATTTATTCACTCCAAAATCATATAATACAAAAAACAACTATTTACGTTTCAACTTTTAGCTATTTAAATTCTCAGCTTTTTCCTTTTAAACAAATTTAAAGTGAAACAACACAAAACACTGCAAACCCCAACACTATAAAATATCAATTAAAATATGAAAACAAAAAGAAGATGCACATTCTCTATTCTATATAACAGGTATAAATATATTGTGACACAACCCTAATACATATTCAATAGGAAATTAAGAACTTGCAGTTAAATTCAGGGTTTCCCTTAACTTTCAGAGGTTGCATGAGTGATATGATAGATGTATGGTCATCTCTCAAAGCTACTTCATGGCTACAAGTAGGGGTTTCATAGCTACATTAGCCATACTTCTTATCCTGAACTTAACAATCATGTTGGTTCTCTTTATTGTCTGTCTGTCAACACCTGTTTGTATCTGATGTGGATCTCTGCTGTGCTATGATGTGGAACATTATGCTAGTAGTGAGTCTACACAGAGACAGGCTTTGATTTAGTTTTTTTCAAAACAGTTTACATTATCTTGATAAGCATGTTGTCACTGAATAATGGAACAACGACGCAAAGATTGCTTTCTACACGTTTAAGCCCGTTGAACAGGTTTTTCTTTAAAAAGGCTTATTTTGTTTTTAGACACAAAGGCTCTGACTGCACTTGAAAAAAACAAGTTTAACCATCTTTCACTTCACCTTGGTTCACTTTTTGCTGTGCTACCGCTTCTTTGCTGTCTGTCATTTTGTTTATGGGTCAGAGAGACAAAATTTCAAGCCAAAACACCGCCAAAAGAAAACTCTGCAGCAGTGTTTTGTCTAATTTAAGTGCCTCGAGTCCTGCACTTGATTTATAATTGGGGAGATACAACAACACTGGGCTCATATTTGAGCTCCACAGACCACATGTTTGGACAGTGAGTGTCAGCACTTGGCATGTGTAAATATAATTGCTCTTATTTTCTTTTTTAAGGCAGACTGTCACAGTGTGTTCACTGCACAGCTTCACATATACACTATATGTTAATTAGGTGGTTTTTCAAAGGAAGGTGGAAATTGTTATCACCATGGCCTCATCTGGGCAGAATGCAAAGAAAACAGCCATCAATTAGTTGCCATATATCTGAGTTTATTTCAGTGTAATTGGTGATAATTTAAAGGAAGACACATGTGGACTGCTAAACTCTGAAAGAGTAAACAAGGTTCGACTGTAAGTCACCAACTTAAGAATAAAGTTTTAAATTTAGAAGAACAAATCAAACTCACCTCAGCTGCCACCGAATGTGGGAGTGAAAAGAGGGAGCTTAAAGTGAGTTCAGTCCCTATATTATGTGTGCCACGTGAGTTCAATTAAGGGACAAACTCCAGAGTCAATCAGTGGTGAGAAAGCAAAAGAGGTAAGTCTGGTGAGGCGAGGGAGAGTGAGAAAAATGGTAAATAGAATAAGAATCTTTACAACACTATACAAGATTGAACCACTCTTTCTTAATCTTTGATTTCAGGTGTTTTTAATCCATTGCCACAGGTGTATAAAAGCCCCTAGTCATGCAGTCTGCTTTTAAAAATATTCGGGAAAGAATGTAATTCTAAAGAGCTTATCAAATTTGCATGCCATCACTACAACAAATCAGTTTGTGAAACATCTAGTAGGGAAGAAATTTCACAATCATCTGTAAGTGGCAACATACAAGCTGCAAACATTTAGAAACTACAG